GGCAAATTTACTTCAAAAAACAGTTTTGGAAGAGACAATTCCGAAGCAATACGTGGTTTGTGACAGTTATAGGTAATGTTTGTTGTACCTACATTAAATATTTTTGTTTCCTTGTTTGATGTTTACATAGTCTCATTTGAATGTACTGTGTTGAGTTAGGTAGATTTCTGTTTTGTATTTTGTAAAGCAACCATTATTAACCACAATTTCCAGTGGTGGCAACTTGGCAACGGCAAGACTACGTTCTGCGCTCCGCCGGGTCATCCCCTAGCTACGGACCTGTATAAATGCTTTCTTTACTTTCATGAAATCATGGCGCGTCTCATAAAAGCACACAATTTAGATGAATTTAAGTTGCGCTAGCGATGTAGGTAATTCTAATATATTATTATATTCTAAGTACATACCTACAAGAGTAAAATTTACGTTTCCCGATTGACCCATGTCATGAGCTATCTGGAATGGAGTATACAGAGTGGCCCAACGAGAAGTATACAGAGGGCTTTTAGAGTATTAAATTTAGAAATTTCGAAAAATTCTCGAACACGTCAATTTTGTATTCGAGGGGGACAACTTTTGGAATACAAATCACGAACCCAAGTCTTCACCCCTCTACGTAGGGAGCTTAACCCCTAAAATTTTAAATGGAATCCTATGCCAAATGGCACATTATTTGAAAGCCAATCGTGATTACTAATCTGCTTTGCTTTTTAAATTCTATTGATTCGTTTCGGAGATATTCGCATTTGAAATGGTTTTTTCTAAAAAACCAAAACAAATACGATCTAAGTCACCTTGTATTAAAAAAGGTTTAAATTGTGCAAAAAAAAACAAATAACTTTAAACAGACAACATTTATTTCAATAAATGCTCGAATTGCCTTCCGCCTGCTTCCATGCAATAATAAAGATTTCGTTCAAAACGCTGCCGTACATGTTGCAAGATTTCAGGGGTAATCGCTCGAAATTGTTGAGTTATACCATAGTGTATTCTATTCTTACACTATGGTTATACGTGCTCGCAACCCTTGTAATGTTCCGGGCGGAGTAGCATAAACTTTATTCTTTAAATATCCTCACAAGAAGTAATCGAAAGGACTTAAATCAGGGAAAAAAACCATTTCAAATGCGAATATCTCCGAAACGAATCAATAGAATTTAAAAAGCAAAGCAGATTAGTAATCACGATTAAATTGGCTTTCAAATAACGTGCCATTTGCCATAAGATTCCATTTAAAATTTTAGGGGTTAAGCTCCCTACGTAGAGGGGTGAAGACTTGGGTTCGTGATTTGTATTCCAAAAGTTGTCCCCCTCGAATACAAAATTGACGTGTTCGAGGATTTTTTGAAGTTTCTAAATTTAATACCATAAAAGCCCTCTTTATACTTCTCGTTGGGCCACTCTGTATTTAGTATTTACGCCTGTGATATTATTTAACCAAACATGTCATTCTCAAAAATTAAATTCGGATGCTCGCGGAAATCACATTAACTTGCCAAATTTTTAAAACAATAAACGGGCACGAAATCACTTTCTCATATTGGTGTGGTAACCACCGATCGAAACTCACAACGTTAGCTAAAAGCCAAAAGGAGATAATACGAACACGAAGTATTATATTATAATTAGAGTACAATACAATCATAAAGAACATCCTGTAACTACCTGTTAAAGTCCACCTTTGCAAACATGGCTTCCTCTGAACGTAAACCTACTTCTAATAAATTCAGATTCCCTGAACACAAGCAAGTTAAATGCTGTTCAGTTTTGATCGTCATTGGTGCAACTCGTTCACGTGAGCTTCCCACGAATGTTGCTTTCCCGTCATTATTTTTTTTCTTTTATAGAAGTTACTCAAGCGGTATTGTGTTGACTGTTATAGTTCGGTTATGTGTGTGTATATTTAAACTAAGTGTAAACTGATCGATTTTTATTGAATAAAGTGCAACCTTTTCAACGTACCAATCATATAAACGACCGACCGCGAACGACGAATTTAAATTTGTTATTTCCGCGTAGCATCGATAACAAGTGCCTTATTTATTTTATTTATTACTATTAATGATAATACTGTGTGCCAGACTTTTACCGAATGGATTGATTAATAATAATCTTAAAAAATAAACGCCGACGAACCTATATCTAAAACCTACTTCGATTTATTTCTAGATAAAGGTTGAGGTGTCTCGCTAATCAAATGAAACGTGTCTTTTAAACGTAATAAAAAATATGTTAGGAATTTTTGGAATGTATTAGTAAAATGTGTAGTTTTGCTGCGTGTGAAAGCTATAACAACGGGTATACCGTTGCATGACCGTGTGAATGACTTCTTACTATGGACGAAATCGCATTTAACGATTGGCCTGGTCAGCCAATGGATTTGTCTGGAAGCAACCACTGGCTACCGGCATACGGATTCCAGCAGTTTCACACGGTTCTGGATAAAGAGGATTTTATCGGAAATCCTGGTGAGTCTGTTGTCTGTCTGTTAACTCGACTCTGTAATGTTTACAATGGATGGATCTATCTTTACGCACGCGCAACCGCTACTTCTGTTCACCATTCAAAAATTCAGTGTAGGATATTTAAATGTCACTTGATCGACTTCTGACTTGTGATTTTTGAAAGAAAAATAACGTGCTTAGTAAAAGATAATTAATCGTCACATTCACATAAAGTAAACACGGTTTAATGAATATTTAGATTGTGCATAATCTGGATTTAAGAGGCATTAGGTAATTAAGTGCATGTTTATGTGCTGTCACGGGAAGTCGGTTTTTGTTATAAATATTTCAGCGTAATAATTTAGATACCGCAACGCGTGTAATGGTTCGTAAATTTAACGGTAAGAATTCCCTAAATTACGTTAGGGCTCCGAAGAGTAACGCACCATCTTAGATTTTTAAAAAGTGTATGTACCTACCTAAGCACCTAAGTGAAATTACTGATATTGAAAGGCGATTTATTTGAGAAACTCAGAAATGCATCTTGCTAAAGTTATTTGTAACGGTCTTGGTAGCTTAACCTTAACGTATAGCTGTAACCGACGCTGTAACAATGATTTCAACATTTTATTTATTTATGTATTTTGCCTTTATTTTTGAGTGGGCGGGGTTACAGCCAAGGCTGCTCTACCAACCAAGCCCACTATACATTTACAAATATCCATGTTTCAAGTGAAATGTCGATCTCTATACCCACTCTTTCGCTAGAGAAAAAATCATAATAATTAATAAGACGAATTAGTTATGTTATTCTACCAATGAACGATGTCTAATTGCAAGGGGCCTCGAGTTTATCGCCCGAAAATTAAAAACAAACCAGTAAACCCGTGGGCTACGCTCCACTCCTTTTATGTAAGGTAGCTTACGATATTAACAATTGCAATATTTCAACTACTTATAAATCCAAAATACATTTAATGAATTCGTCAGCGCGGTCGATAGGTAAACTCCCTAATGCGAAACAATCAGACTTTTTATAAATGCAGCAACTGAGACTTAAAAATATACATTTATTGTATAAATTTCACTACTGCATTCCGGTAATACTTATTTTGGAAACCATGACATGTAGGAAGAAAATGAATATATCCATTTTTTGTAGGAAATTTAATTGTCTTTAACTGCCTAATTCCGTTACACAACCATTTTGATAAGAATGGTTTTTAGGTAGAATGGATGGTATAAGGTTAAGCGAAAAACGAAAAAATGTGGCCCTCTTTCCCACCTGCAGCGGCTGGGCTAGAAACGGGGACTTTTGCTATTGCCGTCCTCTACAATCCCTCTATTGACTGAACTATATTGTCATTGTCACTGCTTAGTTAAAGAACATACTATCAAAGACTATCCTATCCTCTAGTCTTTGATAGTACAGTTCTCACGGCGAGTGTAAATTTGCCTAGCAGCAGGACGCGCTGCGCACTGTTTCGAATTTAAATTGTTTGAAATAGCGCGATTGCGTAAGCCATTGGTATGTAATTTACATAACCGACCGCTGCCGAGCACACGATATACCGACCTGCGCGACACGCACGGGGTACACACTCGCCGTGATAACATACCACAGAAAACAACACAGGTAATATGGATCGTTTCTGTAGTGTATGTGGTGCAAGAAAACGACTTAACTTCGATTTTTCAATAGGTAAGTAGCCACTATATTTTATTGTACCTAAGTAAAACTGTTGTATTTCAGAGAAATGTGAAAAATGTAACCAAATGCCGCACATTCTCTCATTTGAATTGAAATCAAGCAATGTTTTACGTTGTTCAGTGTGCGTGTCGTACATTTGCGAGTCAAATAGATATTGTGAAATATGTGGCCATACCGTAGAACGTAGTAAAATAATTAGAAGCAAACGGGCAATTGAAAACCGCGACATGATTCGCGTAAAAAAAAATCAGGCTTTAGAAAGAAGAAGAGAAACTCGCAATATGGTAAAAGCTGAAACAATTACATCTTTATCAACATCGCATTTAGATGAGTCATTAGAGCAGGCTGATGTAAATAAATCGTTTGCAACTGATGGTGAGGGCGACATTTTATTCAGTCAGCTGCGTGATGAAGATCTCGCCAACGACGTAAACAACGGCAACGATAAGAAAGAAACACATTTAGAGGAGGTGTGTGATATAGAAAAGGACGCCGATGTAAAGGATAAAAAAGAAGAAAACAATTAAAAAATATTTTTGTGTTTTATTCAGTATATTTTTACCTTAACTTGTTATAAGAAAAACATATTTTTAGTTTAGGTAATAATCAATTATATCTAACTTAAAAATAAAACTTACAGCAAAAAATGCCAAATACGCATAACGGGCGATCAAAAATGAGTTGCTCTCTAGTCGCCTTTGGAAGTTCAATTTAAGTACATTTCCCATGTAAACAAAAATTCCAAAGGTGACTTGACAGCAACTCATTTTTGATCGCATTGTACATGTATCAGATTTGAAACAGGGATTGCGTTAACAAAATGTTAGGTTATAAATATTGGCTCTCCTAATAATTGAAAACCGGAATTACAAAACTTCGGGGTAAACAACATTGCGCGTGAATTTTCCCGAATAGTTTGGGAAAGACCCCTGTGTTTTCGAGTCTTCAATGAAAATTCGTATACAGTCAAATTTACGAACTCGGGAAAGAGCTACATAAAGCTGACCGTGAGAAAATACTGGATCGGGAAGGTACAGGGACACTTTTTTAAGAGTTTGTCCTTGACTTTTATTTATTGTCATACAAAATGCCAATCGTAGTGGGAATTGTAGACGTTCAAATTTAAAGGGCAATGCAGTATCAGATGGTTGCAGTTTAACTTTGGGTATAAGTATTCGTTCCCCACGATTTGCTCCAGTTAAAATTTCACACTCGATAGAACTTGGATTCATATTCAATACACGGAGACGTGTACCATTAATAAGTCCTTGTGCGATGTTCATATTTCTTAATAAAATTACAATGGCATTTTTTTTCAACTTTAAGCAATGCTGAGGAAGACCACTGATTTCCACACTGTTAAGGAATTCCGGTGGTAGTTGGTCATGTTCTTGGGGATCTTGCGTATCTATACTAAAATATATTTGTGGCTCACCTGAAAGTTTGTCAAGGACTTTTTCATTAATGATTGTTGCGTTATTATTTTTTGGGGTAAGTATTGCTCTATCGACGATTTCTTCCAGATACAATGTGTCTATAATGTTTCCGAAAGTAAAGTTAAGCATTGATTCAATACCTTGACCTATAATTTTTTCGGGAATCTGAATGAGACCTTCTCCGATTTCTGGATGAGCTGGATATTTGCCATCTCCAATATCTAATAGAAATTTTGAGAACGCACCATCATCTTCACTGGCTCTCATGTTGGTTTGAAGATCTAGTTTTTGGAAATGAGTAAAAAGTGGATTGGACTTAATTGATGATTCAACCGTAACTGCACGACCGGCGTGAGCAACAACGGAAAGTGTTTGGCGAAAGTCACCACTAAGTAAAATAAACTTGTTTCCGAAGTGTCTTTCCTTATCGGAGCCATTAACTATATCTTTAAATAGTCTATTAATTACCGTAAGAACATCAGAGCTAATCATTGGCGCCTCATCGCATATAATCAGTTTTGAAGATCTAATTCTTTGTGCAATGGCAGAATTACGTCTAACTTCAGGAACGGAGTCTGATCTTGTGGGAACAGGCAACTTTAATTGAGAATGTATTGTTCGACCACCTGGTAGCAAAGACGCTGCAATACCTGTATAAGCCATAGCAATGCAACTTGAACCGAGTTTGGCAATTAGTGAACGTTGTATAAAAGTTTTTCCGCATCCGGCCGCTGCTGAAAGAAAATATAAACGTTGAGAGCTGCCGGTGTCTATGGCTTGGATTATTGTATCAATCACAAACTTCTGTTCGGCATTTGCTTGAGAATATAAATCCAAAAAAGTGTCACTATTATTGTCCGCGTCTGCGCTTTGTGCCATTGTTGAAGGTGTTGGCAAACCAATCAGAGCACATGTTGTATTATTTTCCAAAAGAATTTCTTCAATTTCCAGAAGTGCGCAATTTTCGGCGTTCTCAAGGCTCATTGTTTGGATGTAATCTTCATACATGTGGTATTTGAAATCATTCCATATCAAATCCACATTATTAGGGACATTCAGTGAACAAATGATTGCGAAAAACTGACGAATTTGTTTGGGTGTTTTAGCACCGCAAACCTCCGCAACAGCCTGATACCAAATCATATCATTGGCCGAAATACCTCTTGCTTGGCAAGCGTCAACATAAGTTGAATAGACGTGGCCATCATATGTTCGTAGGTCTTCGAAGTTTTTCGCACCACGTACATGTAGAAGTAGCATTCGTAAATGGAAAAGCTCAGAATTTTTTGGATTTACAGCGTATAGGCGGCTTACAACCTTTGGTGAATTTTGTTTGCGTTTTTGCCAACAACGCCCATTATTTGACCAAGTGTAATGCAATGGTGTTTCAGTGTAAAGGTACTGGTGTGCAAATTCGTCTATTTGATTAAGACGGAACCAAGCAAGTAGTTTGGATTGGCGAACGTTTTCCTGTACCAACTTATTGCCTATTTGATCTTCATTAAATATAATTCTTTGTTGATTTTGAAGGTGACATTCGAGTTTGATTATTGTGTGTGATTGATAATGCATTTCAAATTCATTGATTCGCCATATAGCTTCATGGGCGCCAACATATCGTCCTGTGATGAATGTGTTTATTTCGTCGTGTGATAACGCTACAGAAGTTGAGTCGGTGGTAAAGTGAAGCGTTCCGGCGTCATACCCCTTGTAAATGTATTTGCTGAAAAATGAAAGACACGTTATTAAATACCTACTTATATATTTAATGTATCATTAATACTTACTAAATGTATTTAATTGATTTAACGGAAGAGCAAATTTCCACATTGATATGCGCATTATATCGTTGCAAAAGATATGGATTGTGAGGCACGATACGACGATTATCAATTAGATTGTTATTGGATTTCCATATCTCCCTCCCATTGTTTCTACGGCGGTATATCGGATAGCCGTTGATCGCTTCGCGAGTATTTTCACTGAAGTCTTTTGGATATTTTTTGGAGCATTTTCCTTCTTGTAAGCACATTGGATTGCAAGAATGAGTCATATGAGACGTTACTAAAGCGTATAGATGGCCTTCTTTTCTTGGATCAGGGATTTCAGCCGAAATAAAACGATCGATGTCTTCAGGTGTTCTTATTGCATCATCTTGATGAAGTGTCACCAATATATGAGCGTGGGGAAGACCTCTTTTTTGAAATTCAATTGTATAAACGAGCGCCGCAACTCCACCGAAAATCCTTCCTTTCACAATTTCTTCAATTAAAGAGTTCAGCTTTAACTTGAATACTCTCACAACAATATCAGGACGATACTCTGGCCTGTTTTCGGGTTGAATAGTTGTTTTTATTTCGTCCCAATTGGGATTAGCTGTAAAAGTAATAAATAAGGAAGGCTTTCCGCAAACTTGAATAATCCTCATGGCATCTAGGTAACGTTCGTGCATATTTCGGGGGGAACCAATGAAGGAGGATGGAAGAATGACCATTTTACCCGGAACTACGCCAAGTTCGTTTGATTCACGAATCATAAAGTCCATCACGTTACAGTAGAGGTCGGCCCTTAGTTTGCTTTGATTCATTCGAATGTATGTGAGACGTTGACTTTCAATCCGAACGTAAATATCCACAATATATTGAAGGAAAAGCTTCTGGCTTCTATGCAGCAATGAAAAACCGGGCCTCACTGAAAGGCGATATGATACATATTGCAGAAGAGTAACCTTAAATCGTGATACGGTACGATTTTCTTGAATATGCTCCATGTTCATGTCCCAACCCTTGTCTCCATTTGGGAATAACAAAGGATATGTCAGTGGATCAATTATGTTGGATAGAATGGGAACCTGGCGTATCCCTCCTGTTAGCAGGTAGATTACAATGTCGCGATTATTGTTTAAGGGAGGAGCACCATCAGAGGATTTGAAAATTGTTGCAATTTTTTCAGTTCCTGAAGCATCATTGTAGCGGCCAGGATGGCCATCTGGTGGGCAGCTGCCATGGAGATACATACACACTTCTCGGGTATTGCGGTTTTCACTTTCTGCGAGAGATTGCTCTTCGAGCCATAAGTTATGCATAGTTTTGAATTGCTGAGCATAAGGATTGACCTGGTGAATGTAATTCGAAATGTGCTTCATTAGGTTAGCATCGCATTCGGCATTGTATGTATTACTCATTCTCTGTTGTACTGCTTCGTCGACGTCATATGTGTATACAGAAGCATTGCGTGCTGGGTGGGAGTCATTTGTCAATAATGGGCCGATACTATGATAAACCTGTCCATGGATTTTGTAATAGTAAACACCGTGTCCAGGATTTTCTTCTAATTCGGCTTGCATGGATACCATCTGATGAGCTGCGTTATATTTCCGAATATTTTTTAAATATTCTTTAGAAGTTTGATCATCTTTTTGTATAAGTTCCTGTAAAAATATTGAAGACGAAATTGGGTGTAGTTTGACTTTGGCCTTGTGGCAGCAATTTTTAAACACAACTGAATTTGTAGTGTCGTGTTCGGCTGTAAAATGCAAAGCATCACAACCACTACAGGTAACATCCATGGTACCTAAGTGATGCACATTGGTGGTCGTGGTGGCATCTTCAATAAGAGATACAAAATAATCGTAACCTCAATTTGTAGAATCTTACCTCTCCTTCTTCGCATGTTAACACGGCGATCTTCGCTCTTTTTACGCGCACGTGTGGGCATATTTAACAATCGTTAACCGAATGAACGAATAAATAAAATCAAGTCGTTTCCACAAAGCGGAAATCAAAAACACAGCGTAAAAATGCAAGCGAATGAAATCATAAGTCTGCATTTAACCTTTGAGCCGTCTTTTCGTTATTCAATGGTTCTACCTAGTAGATAGGCAACCCTAATCACTCCTTCATAAATGCCTTTCATACATCGACCTTGAAGTGTATTGCGTGATCAAACACCCAAAAGGCACATCTACCACATCAGAGCTTTCCGTAGAGTCGACAATCTTGAAGATCGGTCAATTGGTAGAAAAGATATGGCGGTAACAAAATTTAAATGTAAAATCGGTTTCGGTATTAATATATTAGATGGTTGCGTCTGGACGAGCGTCTAACAGTAATATTGCAAAATCTCACCGTTTTCGAATAATAAATTTTTAAAATTACCCCTGCAAATTCCATTTTTGACATAAAAACTTGATTATCGACGAAGCCCTTGGAGCAAAGGGTCAACTATAGGGTATCGTTGTACTCCAAATTCGACGTAGAATCCGAAAATGTAGAAAAAATAGGGGGTCCCTATTTAAAATAACAAAGTTGATGGCCACTTCTGGTATTTGCGGAAGTGGCGCCATCTTAAAAATATTTTAGTTCAATTCATCATGTGCCAAATCCCTTAAAAGACTTATCAGTACAGTATCATTTTCAAAGGTTCTCCATATCTTTCTAACTGACAGTCGTCAAGAATGACCCTGTATAGGAAGCGCGTGTACCAAATCTGCCCTCGTATATTGCCTACCTTCCAGTCGTGGGCTGTTTTTACTATGGAGTAATATGGGAGATACATCGTTTTTTTGTTTATAATATGATCATTAATAAGATGATTCTGAAGTTGTAACTCATAGGTACAATGTGTTGATGTATCTACCCATTGGTTACACAGGCCATCAAGATTTTTGACTTTGATAAGAGAATATGCTCGAGAATATGAAATTTTGATACATTTATTGATAGTTAGACAAAAAAATATATAACGCCTGAAAAAGTTTGCTTTTGTATCCAGGAGAGCTGTTGACCAGTATTTTAGAAAATCCAGGATTGAAATTTTTATTTATCGATAAATCGAAACAAATGTAATTGTATGAAACTTTTACTATCATATCAAATTTAAAATAGTAAAAAAAATTTACTATTACTCTTCTTTCCATGGTCATAAGTACTTTTTCTCACTAAACCCAAAAACAAAATATAGTCCTCCCATCACACTTTCGTTGTACTTTATTGTATTTATCATGATAATGTTGCTCGAAGTTCATAATATCTTGATAACGCGTTCTACTCATTTTTCTGAGTACGCCCTGATATAATAAATAATAATCATATTTTTTTTTTTTTGCAAAAAATCGCTTACCTTCTAAAGGTCTTTTGTAGCTACTACAAGCAACATGTGAAACCCAGGAGGTGTCTAGATTCCGAATGGGGTAGTTAAAATAGGTTTCGTAGGCTTCATAAGGCTTTTTACAGGCGTTTAAAAAAAATTTGTCTTTCATACTTTAATAAATATACCATAGACACGAACTTATAAATTAAGATGGACTGCTAATGCTGAATTGACAAATGACACCTACATGGGGGCAGCCATGATGTGCACTTACTTGGCGCGAAATTCAAATCAACTAATAAACAAGCATTAACCTCACGTTTTCTAAATAAATTACTGTGACACATGACACATGTCGTTTTCCAAGGCTGCAATAGCATAGCCGTCTATAATTACAAGCCATCCTGAGAAGTTTGGCAACGTTGTCCGAAAGTCAATCGGTGGGCCGATATACTTTTAATGGCGTCTTGTTGCTCTTGAAAAATTGCATTTTTCCTCTCTCCTGTGCTTCGCCTTGGTGGTTTTAATACAGAAGAAAGATACTTAAGCAGCTTACAATTGTACATATATTTTATTTATTTACAAAAGTAGATAATAACATTTTTATTTGACGTTAAAATTCGGAACGCTGTAAATTGGTAACTGCATCATAACGTGATTTCCATTGAGATCTCCGAAATTGGTGAACTTCTGTCGAAAGAGGTCGAGGTGAAGCACACGCTTAGGCACTTAATTTCGGCAAAAGGACAGTAAATCGCTGTGCATCAGCGAAGTTTTATCAACGACCAGGTGTGATTCGGAATTGCAGATTTTAAGCCAGTCGCTACTCCAGTGGGTCTATGTACGAAGCTTTTAAAGAGGGGAGCCCCGTAGACTTCAAATTCCCGTACCGTGTACTCCTGGGAATAAGTTGGAAGGTTCCTTCAGAAAATCGACTTGACATGTCCGTGCTAGAATTTCACTGAAATACGAACTAATAAAATAATTATTGTATTCTTTCACGATAAACACTTACCGTACTTACGTACCACGTAGTGTGTAGGTCATATTTGAGCTTGTACAGGTACTTTGAACAAATACAAGTGCTTGTAAAGGGCCCACTAAGGAGTAGCCTGCTTTAGAGGTTATGACAACAAATCGATATATTTCGTTTAGCAACTTACCTGAATAATAATTTCTGTTCATTCCGTACGGAGTAACACAAATTGTCGCAATCTCGCTCTGTTAAAACAGGTAAAAAGGAATATTACACCCAAAACACACATAAAATACACCTGAAATCTGTCAAGTTGAATTAGGAAATCGGCCTACCATGCAGTGTTGCCATAATTCTCAGCACGGCTTGTAATTATAGACGGCTGTGGCAATAGTCTCAAAACTTGAGCACTAGGAAAAATTCCCTAGAAAATAACTAAAACGTGGACATCATGGGGGCGCCCATTCTAGGGCCATTTTAAAGTCACTAAATATAGAAAGTACCGCAATCCATTGGGCTCGTGTGTTAGAGAGAGAACGCATGATTTTTGCCCAAAAATGGCGGAAGTTACCAGATTCTAGTAACTTTAATGTTAGGGATTGTTCCACCTGTTTGGAGATATCTGTATATATTTTTATAAAACATGACAGTACTATGAAGTTAGGTTATAAAAAATGACAGTTATTCAGATTTTATTTGTCAATTTTTTTAAGTTGGCAGCAAATTTGCCCAAAAATGGCGGATGATTGCGGTACTTTCTATATCTAGTGACTTTAGGCCATTTCTACCTCTATGCAACTGTTTGATCAGCAGTCCATCTTAATTTATAAGTTCGTGACCATAGACCACATCACATAGGTATATAAAAATATGCATCAGCATCATATTTCCACTTTCTTGACCACATTTTAACCTCTATGAGTCTTCTACAAAATATTCAATTGTTGTTTATCACTTAAGTGATATAATATTTCAATTACCAAATGACCCGCGCAAATGTTTGTACATATATTTAAATGTATGTAGTACCTCAATGATGAGCAAATGTAGCAAATTTCTGGTAAATTTATAGCGAATATAGCAAATGTGTAAATGTAGTAAATGTAGGAAATGTCTGGCAAATGTTGAGCAAATGTGGAAAATGGCAAATGTGGTGTACACAATTTTGCGCAGTGGTCACCCCCTCGCTTATCATATACTAACACCTCACCAAAAATCAGCTAGTTACTAATTTTGTCTATTTTTTAACCTAAAATACCTGGGCTATAAGGGGTATGCGAGGGTGTGTGGAGTTATGTATATGTATTAGTCCTGAGCTCGCCCACTTGAGTCCGGTGGTATTTAAATAGGTAGGTAGGGATGCTAGTTTTCGTCAGATTAGAATGCGTAGGTATATCTCGAGAATGAACAATGAAACTCAACAGTGGGTAGATATCACCATGGTAGAGCTGTACCCTCGGCTGTACCAGTATTAAATAATCGTCTTATTTAGTTTCGGTCGTATCGGATTTGTCTTATCAATTTGATTGAAAACCACCATTTCTAGGTGGCCAATGATTGCTTAATGTGTTATAAAACTTGATCTAAGTTTTTGCTTAATAACTTAATTTAAATGCCAGTTTAGTTATAAAAAAAGCAAAACGCACTTTCTCATCAATGTAAATTTGTAGGTCTACTTTACTTTCTGAGTTATGATTCTGACAAGAGAGGCTCTTCACGCACGATTTAAACTTTTTCGTTTCATAGATTTGGTCTGCTTAAAGACTATTAGTCCAGTCAAATAAGAAAAAA